ATACAAAATTAAATATATATAATTTAAGTACAGAAGCGAAATAAAATGTTAAAGTTTAGATTCCTTATACAATAATTTAAAAGTATTGAATAATATTACGGAATGAATTTTCTGAAAAAAAAAATATGAGAAATAAAAAAAATAATAAAAAATAGAAAGTGTCTAGCATATACTCACAATCTTCTTACGGATCAAGCTCTGGAACCAAGTGCTCTTGATTTGAAATGGTTAAATAAAGGATGAGTTACACTAACCCAGTAAGAATATCACATTATATCACCGGCACATAAGTAAAAATTGGTGTAAAATCAAAACAACTAATAGAGCATTAAATTTAAAAAATTCGTTTATCAATCATAAAATTATTTACCGTTCACTTACCATTATGAAATTTATAAAAACAATCTATAAAGACAATAATATCATACATATCATAACTTCATGAACAATCAGCAACATAAAACATATCATAAATTCATATTCATTAACAATAAATCAAATCATAACCGTTTCTCATTTCACCAGCCTACTAGTATATATGGGGATTCATAGAGGTGTCTCCGCTACACGTGAACCTTTTTCCTTAATAATTTAAATTACAGGGTTGTCCCTATACCCCGTCTAGTATGAGTACTAAGACATTAAACCTCAATACCTCATCCGGTATAAGGGTGAAGCGGACTATTCACATACCCCGTCCGGTATGAGCACCAAACTACCAAGTCTCCATACCCCGTTCGGTATAAGATAACATTTACGATAGGGTTCTCTATGTATCCGGTCCTTCCACCATCTCCTATGATATCTAGTAAGGCTGTCATTCTATTTGTTTATTTGATCACACCTCTTTTTTTATTTTTCTTTAGTCTCCATTATCAAATCAAACATAATCACATAAACAAATAAACATGCATCCGATAATCCAATCATGTCTCAAATCCCAAAATCAAATAGTGGTCAGGTAAAGCAATAATACATATATTTAAACCATAAAATAGATAAATCAGATATTATTATGTTTTTAGACTGTAAAATAAATCACAGAGAACAATATCCGGTTCGGCCTCCATTAGCAATCCGTAATTAATTATGCACATCTATTTAATTTGTACAAAATACCATATTATTATTTATTTAAACTTCAATTCTATTATAGGAAATAGGGTGAGGGGTCCTTACTCGATTTAACACCGAAAAATTAAATGGTTTATTACACCTATGGATGGTCCCTAGGTTCCCTGAATTTTTTTTCAGAAACTAAAACGTGCTTATAGTACCTACAAATATCTCAAATAAACTCCAAATCAGTCCCAGGGCCTACTCGGCCAATTTCAAAAATCCAGCACGGCGGCTCCGTTGTGCTCTTGTGATGGCACCACTGCCCGCAGCGTCAGTCCACCTCGAGTCAGTCGTTTTCGGTCGAATTTAGCCGATTTTACATCGATTTATATGAGCACATACGCTAAAAGGCCTCGGTGAGCCAAAAAAATACGAAAAACCAAAACTCACCAGCGGTGGGGCTATCTGGTACGGCGACTCCTCCTACTCACATTGCGGTTGGGTATTTCACTTTGGTCAACCTGCAAATAAAAAAA